ATATGTTAGACATAAGTTTGTGTATTTCACAAGGTTTTCCCAAATCAGAAGTTTATATTTAGTTAAAATGAGACAGTGGTGATGATGTCTAGGTTTATTATCAAGAACTTTGAGGGTTTGTTTATATAATGAGCAAATGGGCATACGAGAAGTTGTACTGGCCTGAGACCAAGTTGTTAAGCAATATGTAATGTGAGAGAATGTCACTGAATGCATATACATGATTGCAGCCTTTGTTGACAGTTTTGTATGAATCTAAAGTTTACCAAATTGAATTTAACTCGCTGACAGACCTTTTTAATTTGGGCTTTAAACGAAAGATTACTATCAATCAGAACACCAAGATATTTAAATTCTGACACTACCTGCAGTCTTTCTCCTGCCACATACAGTATACATCTGGCTCAGTAAAGTGTTTATTTGACTTTCTAAAAAACATGCATACTGTTTTAGACACATTCAGTTCTAGACTGTTTTGTTGTAACCATGTTGTAATATGTTGCATTGACTTTGTTAACTGATCTGCTACTTGTGCTGCACTGCTACCATGGAGGAAAATCACAGTATCATCAGTATGAGAATATTTTTTTTTATCTACCAGTAATGAAAGAGAATGAAGCGGTATGCACTTAGCAGTGTCCATAACTGTGGGTTGTGTAAAACCAGCATGGGTACCCAGTAAGGCTAAAGGGTTGTAATATTTGCGCTCAAATTCAACTATAATTTAGTTGGTGTTCACTACACAGTCGGTATTGAGATACCGGAAGGTCTGTAGTTCTTGCTGTAGCGGAAGCTAAAGTTCTTGTGGCAATTAGAATTAACCAGTTTACCAGAGGTGACTGATTGCTGTGTTTAAATCTGCTTGCCTCCATCAAGGGTTTACACCTCCTGGAATGGACAGGTCATCACCAGAAAACAGTCCAGTGCATGGATTAGTACGAGAGCCCATCACAAGCGGAGCCAATATCCGAAGCGTAACAGAACTAGGTATGTTGATGATATTGTAGCTTATGACACAAACATCAAAAGAAAATGGCATAAAAGAAAACTCCTTACATTTTGCAACACAAAATGAGTAATGGATTCCTATAACCTTGCTAGTTCCATTGAATTTAAATTTTATATTTACATTCATATTTATGTTTTGACAGGCAATATGTCAGAAAATATTTGTATTTTAACACATTTTTACCTCTGTAAAGTTTGATTATGAATGGAGAAAAAGACTTCTCGTGGAAGAAGAGTAATTTTACAGGAATAGAGTTGCTGTTGTGGATAAAAACAAAATGGGCCCATTTATTAATAACAATGAATCTGCCTTTATTCCCCTGGCACAGGAACTCATGAAAGTTTTACATCTCAGTGTGCACCAAAGCATTGCAGACTGGCATCTAAAGCTATCCTTTGACCCAAATATATAGCATTGTAGCAAAGACACTTCTAAAGCCAGGGGGTATGACTGGATTTCATCTCACCTTTATGGCTGCCTTCTTTGTTTGGAAGCACAGCTTGAAAAATGAGATGAGGAGTAGGGACACGAAAGTTTACCATGACTGTATTAAGGGAATCAACTCTTTAAGTACTTGACGGACCGACTCCTGCTCATCCCATTGTTTTCTGTAGGCATTAGTCTGATCTCACTTTATGGTGCCTTTAATGGTAATATCAAACTTAAAAAACTTAAATAATCGTTTACTGTTGCTAAACGATTGTTGCTAGATACAGTACATGGACTCCCCAAGGCCAGAGATATGCAGCCTGCAGTAACACACCCAACCTGGACAGTTACTGTACATGTGACTCTGTGCCATTTCCGTTAATTAATGCATCTTAGCTACAGTCCAGCCACAGTAGAAGCTGACAAACTGACTGACTGTCAAATAATTTTTCTTGTTTCATTGTGTGCATTCAGATTATTTTTCCTGCTTCACTGTGTGCCTGTTATTCAGGGTAGACGACATTTAGTTTATTTCTTTTAAGTTATATTTTGTATAATTTGCATTAAAGGCAGGAATAGTGTGCAGGTTGTAATGGCGGAGCGTTGAGAATGGCGTTGAACAGCAGATTGTGTAATGCTTAACTCTCACTGTTGTGTGTAATTATACTTTAGTTTCAACAGGGACAGTTTGCCTGACGTCTTGAATTCACGATTTTTCAGCACTGTGCCAAGTATTTTGTTTATGTTTATCAGCTTTTAGCATCTATAATATGAGTTTTTCCACATATCAATTGGAAACACCAGCTCTATATTTCGTAAATGTGTTCCTGAGCAATCCCCATAGCGTACCCTAAGTTTTGTATATGTTCAGTAGAATAAATGTTCATCCCTAAAGTATACCACATTTACTCATGTCCAGGCCCATGTGGACAAGCTAAACCTCTTTCTTGAGATTTATATAAGGGTTTTGGACTGTGTATATCTCAATATACGCTCTACAACCCTGTAGTGCCTCATGATTAATTTCACTTGTTGATGATTGTTTCCCTTCCCAATGCTGTTTTGCATAATTAGCTCAACCTGGTAAACTGCCACCTTTGGTTTCACTCAGTCAGGACAAAAAAAGTGGAGCCAACATTCATATGATAACTGAACTGGGTAAGCCTCGCCTTTGTCCTCTTCCCACAGTACCATTTCTCCATCAGTTGCTCTTGATTTATCTGGCTGCAATAGAGAACTGTTCCCATGGCATCACTTTGAACAAATTTTATTCTTAGTTCTGGTTGAAATTGACTGTCTTGTTTTGGCCTTTTTAATGATTTTTTCTTCTCCAAGCATCGCAGGGCCTTTGATCACACAAAGGCTGTCCTTGTGGCTCTTTCCATTGCATCTCCTCGCAGTTCATTTCTTTCGCCCCGGCCCCTTTTCATCAAACCTCTTGTCAATATGACTGACGCTTCTTTTTGCAGCTCACAGGAAGTCTGAGAAGAAATAAAATTTCAAAAACAAAACTCAAGATCAAACCTTCCTTTAAGCTGTTTATTTTTTTTCCTAGACCTAATCTCCAAAGCATAGATGCTATGAAACAAAGGAGACCTTTGTGAAGTAGGATTTCGTTGCCTTATCAGAAAACAATGTCCAGTGGTTCAGATAAACTTGTAGGGAGCCAGAACTTATAGGCAGTAGTGCCAGTTCGGGGGGTGGGTGGGGTACTGTCTGGTTTTTCACGATATTCGATATTTCATATGATCGCTTGAATTGCTGAATGTAATTGTCTGTAGCAACCAATGCACTTTTCATACTGAGGATCATTGATGAAGTGCTTAGACTGATGCTTATCATTGTGCAATTTATTCGCCTGCATTACAACAGAGTGTAATCAATAGACTTTGAAGTGCAGCAGCTCTTAGAACAAGTCATATGCGTAAGAATTTACAGTAATATGATATTTCACTTCTAACTGTATTACCAGAATTCATTTGCTTTTTATGTTTTTCCCACCCTCACATAATCTTTATTTTTTTCCCTTGCATATTTATTTCCAGCTGTAGGAATGCATGGTTTTAAGTGGATGAATGAAAGTGGTCTAGAGTAATACAAATAAAAGTCAGTTTTTCTTTTTTTTTTCCTGTGGAACCTCAATAAAGGGCATTTAAACTGATTTAAGTTTAATTGCTTGAGGATGTGCCTGACAGCCATGGTAATCAAGGGCGTAGGTTTGGTTTCAGCATTGGTAGGGACCAAATTAGCCACGAAGCCCACACTCCTCGAGATCAGGGGCATTGAGAAGGGGGTGGGTGGGGGTGATAATAGGGCCTGGGTTGGGGGCCAAATAATATGCTTTCATGGGACCCAAAATCTCTAGCAGCGCCCCTCCTCAAAACATGCACAGTACTCCCACAATATTGTTAGGGACATGCACCTACCATCTATACCCAAATCTACGCCCTTGATGGTATAGTATTTTATGGTATATCTAAGCTATTTGTGGCTCCTTTTGTCTTATATCCTGCTAACTGGTTTTTATGTTTGTACTTTGAATAACGCCGATGACTCCAGTGAATGACACCAATGTTCAGTTCTTGGACCAAGACGATGACGACGATCCAGACACAGAGCTATACATGACGCAGCCATTTGCCTGCGGAACGGCATTTGCAGTCAGTGTGCTGGACTCCCTAATGAGTGCGGTACGTTAATGTGTTTCCACGATATGGACGTACTGGTCAAGCTACCATTTATCAGGGAAAACGTTTCGTATATATGTAGCTTTTAGCCACAGGCTGCAGAATTTTTTCTCTCTCTGAACCTGCAGCCCAGTACTACAAAATTTTCATGCAAGCTAAATTATACTTCATTAAAAAAGTAAAGCTATATATAAAACAATATCTGTAAAAATCCATAACTTCGTAGTTCCTTGAGTTATAAAAGTCCCGCATGGAGTTTCCCATGAAAATAAAATCTGGTTAAAAATACCGAAGAGGAGTTTGAGTATCGGTAATACTTAAATGATTTATTGTGTTATATGTTTTACTATTGTATTGTTTGCCATTTGAGTACTACCATTGCAGGAAATGCAACCTCTAATTCCTTTAGGGCTTTGTATATGTAGGCTGAGCTTATCAATGAGAATGCAGTAACTAAATGTAGCTGCTGGGTTCCTGTTAACACCTGATACTCGTAGCCTAATGCACAGAAGCGCCTCATAATGACTCCTTTAGAAAGAATGCCTTCTTCTCAGTGTTATGAAAGAAGGTCCATCCACAGCAGAGAAGATAACCACCCTGAGATTTAGGTTTCTCAATAGATCATACTTAGGGTCTTCACAAGAGCAGTCTTGCTTGTCTCCCAAGAATGAATTTGGGGCGCAATGTGTCATGGGATTTTTCAATATGACAAGAAATTTTCATGCATTTTAACCTCTATACCGCATTAGGTTAAAATGCGGGGCGGCATGGTGTTGCAGTGGTTAGCACTGTTGCCTCGCACCTCTGGGACCAGCGTTCGAGTCTCTGCCTGGGTTACATGTGTGTGGAGTTTGCATGTTCTCCTGTGTCATCGTGGGGTTTCTTCTGGGTTCTCCGGTTTCCCCCCACAGTCCAAAGACATGCTGAGGCTAATTGGAGTTACTAAATTGCCCATAGGTGTGAATGGTGTGTGAGTGTGCCCTGCGATGGGCTGGCCCCCCATCCTGGGTTATTCCTCACCTCATGCCCATAGCTTCTGGGATAGGCTCCAGACCCCCCACAACCCAGAAGGATAAGCAGCTTGGAAAATGGATGGATGGAGGTTAAAATGTACAATAATTCCTTGTCATATCAGGACATAAAATACATACACAATCACACTGTTACAACAATCAATTGGCACATGTATTGCTTTTAAAGGTGAGTGCGTACTTGCATGCCAGTTATGTCAGTCCCTGCTTATATAATTAGGGTGGGCAAGAACAACATCCAAGGATGCTTACCATCCTCTGTACTTCTGTTTTTAGTATAGGAACTGGTCTTCGGCAATGGAAGATGGTATAAAACGGGTACACAGGAATACAAGTATGATCATATGGAGAAACACCCGTATTCTTATGTTCTACCACGTGCCAACCTTTTTCAAATTATTTTTGTAAAATATTTAATTCACATTGTCAGTATTTTATTGCTCCATATATGGTAGCACTGTATGTACATACAGTATATTACATATATTATCACATATAATCTCATAATTTTACTAAAAGTAAAAGCATATATCAACTAGAGGAAATTATTTAGTAGATAATTTTACAACTTATTTTTCATAATCCCTTTTATTATGATCCCTAAATTTGGCTTTGTTGATAACAGATTTATAATAATTTACAATTTTTTTTTTTATTTGCATTTTTAAAATGAAATGCCTAAAGGTTGGTTTATACTCAGATATTTCATTTAAATGTAAATGTTGACAAACATTGTAAATCGGTTTTGAAAGAGGTTACTACAATAGAGAATTTTAAGAAATGCATGCATGGTTTTAAGGTGGGAAGCATTAAATGTCGGTCAAGAAATTATTTGAAATGTAAGGTTGCTCTAAGCAGAAGTACATTAATCTGCCTATGATATCTGGCTGTTAAAAAATAAAAAAAGGTAGCAAAGACCAGAGCTTTCCCAACCATGACGACTTCATTTGTCTACCTATCAGTTTGAGTGAGGTTAGAACAAAGCAGCCTTCAAGTGCATTTCACACTGGACAAAGGTAATGCTCTCTAATAGACAGCATTCATCCATCATCCTGTTCAATAGTCCTGTCAGCCTCCCAGAGAGATGTCATAGTGCAGTGCAAGCCAGGGGAGACACAAGGTTTAACAACAGGGGAGGGGCGGGGGGGCTTTGTATTCTCATATCATGCACAGAATGAAACAAACTGGCAATATGAGAAATCGCTAAATTCACAAACTTGCTAGCTGATAGCCTTTAGCATCACCATGCTGTTTTTGTTGGGGCAGAGTGTATATGAAGCAGCTGTTAGGTGGCAGTACTGGGCTTATACTGGGCTAAGGATCCTGGAAATCACCTTCAGGGAAAACCCAAAAACAAACGAAGAACACAGAATTCATCGCTTAATATACATATGATGCCACCTCAAGTTCTTGGTGTTGTGTGTCTCTGAATTATAAAAAGAAATACTTAGCATTGCAGTTTGACAAAAAATATTGTGGGTATTGAAGTTAATATAAATGATATGGAACAAACCCCAAAAATGTCTGTATCCTTTCTCAAGCAATTGCAGGACTAATTTCATAGTAAATTTTTTCAGTTTTGCCTCGAGGGAAATGCATTCCTCTTTTTGCTGTGCTGGTTTACCAAATTTTGTGTAATTAAATACAAATATATTTATTTGTTTTTTTTTTTTGCGTAAGGATATTAAAATGTTAAGACACACTTCTGGCAAAATGGAAAAAAAAAAAACGAAGTAATTGGATTCTGCTGTCTTTTCACCACAACATAAATCTATTTGATGAGACAACTTAGGGTTCAAATAACCGAGCTCAGGACAGCATGCTCTTTGAATGTCTTCATTTGTGACTTTAAATGTTGGCTTAAAGATACTCTTTCTTTTATCACTGCAGACATATTTCAATGATAAAAGTCTCACGCTAATCCGGACACTAGTAACAGGGGGGGCCACCCCTGAGCTGGAGGGCCTTTTGGCTGAGGAGAATGCCCTGCGAGGTAGCTATAGCACGCCACAGACGCTTGCAAACAGGGACAGGTGTCGCGTGACGCAGCTAGCGTTGTACGATGGTCCTTTCGCAGATTTGGGGGTAAGTGGATTTTTAAAATGAGCCGGTTGGTTTTGCCACTTAGGTGAACTGCCGTGTCCCGCTACTGTTCCTGTTCGTTATCTGTTAATCGGATGTGGACTAAGTGGAGGAAGCACCTGTGATTCATTTATGTGCCGTCATGAGAATACTGAAAAAACTCTTTTATGAACCATGTTTCTGTGAATGCTAATCCTTGTTTTGTGTTGCAGGATGGTGGATCCTATGGAGATCTATTTGTTAAAGCGTTAAAAACATATAATATGCTGTGCTTTGGTGTTTACCGATTGAGAGATGCACACCTAAGTACGCCAAGTCAGTGCAGCAAGCGGTGAGTCACCCTCCCATCGTCTGTTCATCCAGTGGTGAACCCTATGACATATGAACCAATATTTCTTCACCTTCCCCTTTGTCCCCTCGTGTCTCAATCCCCTACAGGTTTGTCATGGCAAACCCAACGTACGATCTTAAGCTGGTATCCTCAGACCTGATCTTCTGTCTGATTCAGTTTAACTACAACGCGGGGCAGTCCCAAACCAGTCTGTCCCACTCTTCCCATTCCTCCCACTGCTCAAGCAAAAAGAGTTCCTCCGTCCATTCGATCCCTCCAGCCAACCGGCAGAATCGCAACAAGCCTCGGGACCCCAGGGAAAAACAGAAGTACGTGCCTGTAAAAACGTGTGAGCCTCCATATCTGTGACACGTTGTCCATGACGATCGTCATTCTGTGATGTGATTTTCCTAGAAGAGACTCATACTGTTTGTCTTACAGTACTCTCTAAGTTATTGCCACTGTCATTTGCATGTGATCCACGCATCCTTTCTACGCAATACTGACCATTATCATCTTTTTATCACCATACTTTTCCTTTCCAAGAAACAGCGACCTTGTAGTTAGGCAATAATGTTGCAGGAGAATATATTCAATCTTCCGTCAGTAAATGCTACTCATTCATTAGACATACGATAGCTACATGACCTTCTTTGAATAACTTTTATGAAGAAGCACCATTATATATTTCAGTTATTTTTACAATTTCATTTTTTTAAAAAGGTAATTCTCTTGTGGATTGTAGCTTTCCTACAATCTGTAAGAGACTAGATGCATGTGTGTTGTTTTGCATACTGATTCTGTAACATATTTAAAACAATGTTGCTTTTTATTTTATTTTTCTTCAGTTATATCAGGTTGAATAAAATATGCATTAGAATTATTATTGACTTATGAAAAAAGTAACATTGTTTTAAACTTGCCATCGGGGTTACAAATTGAAACCGTTTGTGCATGGAATTAACCCCTTTATTTATCGAATCACTGAATCGGTTTGTAAACAGCATTTCACAATACTTCCAAAATTATTTGCTAAATGTATGTAGTAGTGAGCATTTAACAAAAGTATCTTACACTCAAAATAGATGCTGTTGTATTAATTGTAGAAAGAACCATTTGCATTTTATTATACTTTTTTCAGGACATGTATAGTTTAGCAGAAAATTTATGTTACTTAAAGCTTATTTTATCATAGCCTTTGATAGATTTTTCTTATGATTCTTCAGTGCTTAGATATCTAAGTCATAACGTTTGTTCAAAGCAAATTGCATTCAATCCCTGTATCATATTTAACGTTTGAGAAACACCACTCACAAACAATCACCGTCAAAGTGCAATGCAGGCTACAGTACGCTCATCATGTAGTCCTTCATAGAGTCTAAATACATACGGCCTCCTTATATCCAAATTGCACCTTGCTGGACTGCACCTCTGCCTCCTTCATCGTTGACTTTGTTTTCTTAATGTCCCAGAATTTAGTAAAAGATTCAAAGTGGACTGTTTAATAAAAGGTGACTTTTGTGCTTAATGATAATTTACGTAAGTCGCCCTGACCAGACATTCATTACTCGAGCAGATGAGATATACCTACATGCCGTCTTTCTGTCCTGTGTTTTTGTTTTTCCACTTATTTCGCTTACCGTACCGTGGCCAAAACACTTGCTAGCTAGACTCTGCTAGAGATGAGTTGTGTAAGAAGAATTCTACGAATAACTTGATACATTAATGCATTTTCACTGAGACATTACAAATGAATATGCAAGAATATTACTTGTAGTGATAAGCCATTTTGACACATTTTATGTTTACATTCATGTTTAAAAAAATTCAAGTAGACCTACTATTTAACCGCACCATATGTACAATACCAATATCAAATAAAAATAATGTTTTGATTATTTTTTTAGTCTGTTTTGTGTTGCTTTAAAGTGGTAAAAAAACATGATGACAAATTAACAGATTTGTTCTTTAAGATTCTGATTGTAGATACATAACATGTACTAATGTATAGAGCGGATTATTCAGGACCGGCCCGGCCACCGTGAATCTCACAGGGCTGCCCCTCCACTCTGATTCTGATTTAACCCCTGGTCCGTCACACATTTACATTTGACAGGCCAGATGTGTGGCCTGCACAGGTTTGATCCATATGTCATTCACATTCTGACACATCCCGTAACATCTAAGATGGACTAAGTATCATCTTAGTGGAACATCCATGACTGAACGCCACTCTCCTTCACTCAGTTATCCCGATTTCTCTTCGGTAAACTGGCAGGCATGTCTGAGTCAGAAGTGGAATGAACAGGAATCGTCACAGTGTCACTTTCTCTTGAGGGAGACGTACATGATTGTGATTATGGACAAGCACTGAAGATGTGTTTCTGCAAGCAAAGAAAAGAAGCTTGGAAAAGTACAGAAAACATGGAATTTCATATTGTTCTCCATGCTCTTCTATTGACTTGATATCAAGTTAAAATGCAATTTTGACCTACACAATGTGTTACAGAATTTGAATAGTATATTATGTTTTCACTATTTTTCATATCTGCACAAAAATACGCACCATAATTCCAGAAGTAGAAAACAAACAGAAGTTTTGATACACACGCAACTCCCATCTTTTGCAAGCATGTGACCATAAAATGCATTTTAAGTGTGTTGCCTTTGAAAATGCTGAAATTGTTTAATAATGTATATAAATTTAAAACAATTATTAGATATCTAAGTCATAACGTTTGTTCAAAGCAAACGAATGCTATAAATTTAAGAAGCATTCTCTAGTTGGCTAAGTAGGCGATTGCAAAAGAATGCCACAAAAACTTTTTGCCAACAATCCTACAGCAAATAAACGATTGGCATTAACCGTACGTGTACCCCTCCAGTGCCAGGGTCCAAAAGACCAGTTAACTTTGGCCAACATACCAGGGCTTTGGTGCTGACGGCGTTGTAAAAAGTCAGGCTGAGGTTTAGCACTGCTAAATTTGGCTTAAATTGTTGGAAAAATATTTAAGGTACCCTTTGATCTCTCTTAACATGTCTTTATACCTCATCCAAAATTAAAAATACACATTAATTAGTATCAAATGATTTCAGTGTTTTAAAGGCTACTAGCAATTTGAAATATTTGAATTAAACAGTTGCATGTTATCTGGAAACAATGTGCAATGCTATGAGTGAAAATTACGAAACTCAAATGAAAATACTCATACCACAAGACACACATTGTTTAATGGCTTGTGAAATGCTGCGCATGTGTGTTTTTGCTTGATCTGTTCATTGTAAGACACACATGGGTGTGTGTAAATACGTGTATATGTACTAATATATAAACCTAAATGTATATGTGTACATATATAAGTTTATTTCAGTTTTATAGAGTATAGTCTGATTTGTAACAACTGAACATTTTTCCTGACATGACCAAAATCTTACAAGTATGTAAGTAGTAAGTCTTTGATGAATTGGGAAGTTCATTGTCGTCTTAATGCATTCAGTGCTACTTCTTGTGTATCACAATGTGTACGCAGGCACAGTCCCTCGTCTTTTGTATATACTGTATGTGTGTAGCGCTATTACATGCCCGTGTAATAGGTTTGTTTTCTTGCAGATGAACTGTTTCAGTTTTGTTTATCCACTGACTAATTCATGTTTATCGATAGTGGAATTGCTGGGTAGACCTAGCACTAGACTGAAATAATTAATAACCTTACACCTATTAAATATTATCCACTGGCAATATTCCTGTGTAAAAGTTGTGCAGCCAAGACTAATGTTAAATAAAAGCTTTTAGGTTGATGACCTCAAAATGAGAGTGATACAGGCATCAGCCGACAAGTGCAATTTAGCTTTTCTTTTGTCCCATTTGGAGAGCATGAACTGGGAAGCAAATGGGATGTTAAAATGTGGGTTTCATCTCAATCAGCCCCTGATTTCTTTCACCAAGCAAGTGCATTTAAGGATGTCTTAGCGGGAGACATGTCGATGTGAGTTAGGCTCTGACACTGACCCTGATCTTTTGTCCTCGGCGTATTGAACCCGTTGTGTGACGCTCTCTGGATACTCGTCATAGTCTGTTAAGTTTGGCCAATCACTGTGTCGGACTGTGACCTCTGCTCTTCCAGTACATGCGGCCCACTTGCGATGGTTTCTGTCGTGCATTGGATTCTGTGGCAAATGTTTACGACCAGAACATTCCCGTTTTTTGGCTTGTCAACATTTTCATACAAATAAAGTAATGGATTTAAAAAAAAAAATGCTGCATTTGATGAAGCTTTGAATGGTAACTGACTGATGGAGTCTAGGTAAATGCATTTGGTGCCTTTCGTCTTGTGACCCTAAATACTAAATACCTGGAGGCTCCGAACTAAGTCTGAATTATATGCTTAAGGTAAAATACAATGGATATTCAAATAATTATACAATAAAAAAAAAACAATGATCTGTGAAATTGTGTTCACAATGGGTAGAGTTGTTTATGTGCATAGAAAATATTACTGTGGCAACTATACATTTTATATGGATAATTGTTATTATTTTATCAGTATTATGTATTTTTGTTGTTGATTTTACACTAGAGTCCCTAGACCACTGAAAATAGGCATAGTAGTGAAAATGCAGTAAAATAGCAATGGATATGGTCATGTCAGTGAATGTGTTGAGACATGTAATTTGCTTTAAAAACTGTTAAACTTATATAGATTACTTCTTTTTTTAAAGTGCAACAAGGATGAATAGAATGAGCCAAGGTATGAAAGTTAACGATTCTGCATGAAGTAGAAACTGTCTTGGGTTTTAATCATAACTCTGTCCTTGTGGAGAACAACTATCAGCAGCGAAACCAACTTGTATTTGAAAGCATCTTCCCTTAGTTTTCCTTTTGCTTTCAAATCAGAAGCGAGGTGGCTGCCTGGTCATAGCATTGCCCAAGGACCCCCCCCCCCCNTGCCTGGTCATAGCATTGCCCAAGGACCCCCCCCCACCTTGCATGCAGTGATCATTTTTCTTTCTTCCCCTCTACATAGAATTTTACTTCCCAAGAGGAATTAAAGCTTCCTTATTTTACTGAATGCCTGTTAACAAAATGCTTGGTTTGTTTCACATACAATTCTCGATATGTTGTTCAGTTTCATGCTTTATTAATTTGTTTACCCGAAGACAACTTCTATATGTGTGAGCTCTGTGTGAATCTTTCGTTTGTTTTGTACTGTGTGATCTTCAGTTGTAAAGTTCTGTATCGTAGAAGCATATTACCAGACATTCCGTGCAATATTTGTGGACTCATAGATGCTTTTCTTAAGCCTCAGAAACGTCTCTGTCCGCGTCCAAGTACCTTAATTGTGTGTTCACCAGGTAACTTGGAGATAAGGCCAAATTCTGCCATTTATTTTTAAACTTTCTGCTGGATATATGTCTCTGTTTAGACTTCCAGGTAAATGATGGATTTGGTAGTTTTTCTTTGTGTAGCTTTTCATGGTGACATGTAGTTTCATTGGACATGTAGTTATAAGCTTTTTCACCGTTTACATGTCTTGCCTTTATTTTTGCATTCAGCTAACTTAGGTATTTTCAGTCTGCAGTGTTAAAGCAGCCGTTGTTTTGTGATCATCACCCATTCGCCATAAGGTTTGATTGTTGATGATGGCTGTCTTGTTAGAACTTATTTTTTTATTTTTTATTTATTTTTTGACCATGAGTGGTCCCTCAGGACAATCTGACATATCCTCCCACTAGACAGTGCAGATAAGGCTACAGGAAAAAGAATAGTTATCTACAATCTGGAATTTTTGACTTTCCATTCGCCTTTCAGCCTGAGCATTACCTGGACCTAATCACCAGTTTGCCTGGGCTGGTGCCTGTGTCAAGCACCCTATAACTGACTCGCACTCAAAATCCAAGGAAGTCCTGTCAGCAGTGTGCTTCCTGGGGAACTCTTAGTGCTTATTTTTATTATACTGACAAGACTGAGGCGTCCACCAGCTGTACAATTAGCTTTTTCTGGCTCACCGAGTGCCTACTTGCCCACAGTAGGTGTCATAGCGACTTTCTCAAGAGTGCTTGTCAGAGCAATGCTTATGACTTTGCATCACAATTCTCCTCATATGTATTCATTTAATCACCTGTTTTGCGGCAATCTGGCACCATAGATGACGCCAGGTTCAGCATCTGAGCTTCTGGCGGAACGATAAGGGTGGCTGGGAGTAGCTGATTTGGATTTTCCGCTCAGATTGTGTGTCATTTTATCCACACCCATGACTCACCTGCCTCCACTCCATGGTATCACGGTGGAGTTTCCACTAGTTCCTGGCTTTGTTCTGTAAACCTTTGGGCCACTGTAGGCATTTACATCGTAAGAACATATTAGCAATACAGCTACATTACCGCAGTTGCTGTTGTAGTTTTCAAAATTATTTTTGTTTGAGAAATTAAATTTGCTATATATGACTTGTTTTTATTTGAATGTTGAATGTTGTAGTTGCATTTACACTAGTCAATGAAGATGGTAATATTATTTGTAGGAGCTAGCAGAATACCGCTGTTTATATATAACTTTATATCCCTGAGTACGACGGGACCCTCAAGAAGACTGAATCTGGACCGCATTAACTAGGTTCGACACATGCACTATAAGGTGCCCGAGAGCAGAATCTGGCTGTTTCTTGAGGACTGGAAGCTGTGAGTGGTATGCTTTTCTCATAGAAATTAGGGCCTGGTTGCTTGGCCAAGAGTGCCTACATCTTCATCACCTCCTAAAATCCTGACAGTATCCTTTTACGATACAGAACGCGAAGGTAAGCAAAGCAGCTTTGGTTCTTTGGATGAGGCATATTGCTGGAGCACTATGGTTTTTGTTTGAAGTTTGCGCCAGATTTGAGGCTTGATACCATTACAGTAAGTGAGATGACTCTTCGCAAGAAGTTTCTTTTCATTGTTTCAGTTTTATTGTTCTGAATTATTTCTCATTTGGTTGGACGACATAAACATCATTTGCCGGATTCAAAATAAGATGCCAGTGAGATTCATTTAATTCTAAACATAATTATATCACGATGTTTTGTGATATTAGCAGGTCTAAAAGAAAAAGTGGAGGAGACCAGGTATATTAGGTCTATTATTCAGATCTACCCTTTATTTTTGTGAGACTTTCAGATTTCTCACAAGGTAATGTAAGAAATCAGAGGTTTCTGTGCAATTTTTATCTAAAATAAACAGGAAGTTCAAGTATCAGGAAAACCAAAGATCTTCCAAGAAACATTTTTTTCTGCTGGGTACAAGGCTCTAATTCCAAAGCTATGGTGCAAGTTCATCAAAAACGTCATAGTGTGTAAAATCAGCAGTGGCAATATCCCTCAGTTAGGGAACCAGTGTTACTTTACTTAGAAATGTTTTGTCTCATGCACTTGCTACTTTAACTTTTTCTGTGGTTGAGCTAGAGATCAGTTTGGTGATAAGTCACATTCTTGCTAATACTTTAAGTGACTGCATGTATTAAGACACTTTCGTAAATTGTAGTATTTCACTTTAAGACATTTTTTTTTCAAGCACTGGGCTTGAAAATGTGTTGATACTGTATACATTGACACATACGTACAAACACACAGAACTATTCTGTTAGTGATGAAAAGAGCAAGGACTTGTATCTCTGTTTATCAAGTCATGCTGAGAATAGGGAAAAGAGCATTATGCCCATGAAATATTCCCACACTCTTTGAATTTGTCACAATTTAGCAAATGTTTCTCGGGACCATGTTGAAATTGGCATCAACTACCAAATTCATACAAGCAAATGTGCTTAGCATTGTGGGAAAGACTGTGTTCACAAAATTTAATTCAGAAGATTACAATCTGTAACAGGGAACATTTTTCTTAATCATGATACAATTTTTTTTACCAAAAAGTTACATCCTCCAGTATAGTCAAATATTGTTGACATTATAGAATAGTAATATTTAAAATATCTAATTTGTTTAAAGTTAAGATTATTGACCAAGTGCTGTAATGCTTAGCACTGTGGAAAAAAGCTGTGTACTACACTGTATATACCAAACTTGAACATTACAGGGATGGATTTTTTTCTTAATCATGATAATTTTTCTTTTTTTAATCATCATATATTTTCTGAACATTTTCCTTCTTCAGTATAATAAAAGTGTTGACATATGATATTGACATACTTTAAATAAAAACATTTGCTTAAATGCAAAATTATAGACAAAAAAAGAATAACACAGAAAAAGAAAGGCAAGTATTTTTTACAATATATAGTGAACAAGACTAAACCCAGTATTAGCTACTCTCAATGGAAATGAACATCATAATTAAGGTGAGAGTAATTTTCATATGTGTGAACATGGAATAACTATTTTCATCAGGGCTGCAAAAGAAAAGCAGGTCAGAAAGCATTAAGTTAAAATAACTATCTGTGACTTACACGGGGGTTTTCCCTCCTTCTGTGTTTGTATCGCCTTACTGTTTCGCAGAAAAGAATTGGTTTACAGATGAACCAGAAAATTCCTACCCAAGAAACATTCAGATCAAACCCATGAGCACTCAAATGGCCAATCAAGTCAATCAGGCTAAGAACGCTGGAATCCTGATACCAACCATCAGAGAAGTTGAAGATGAATGCTAAGTGCAGACCGTCGATGTCATGTGAAGTGCCGGGATGTTCTCGTGGAAGATGGAGCCACAGAAGCGACAGTACTGTTCCTCCCTGTACCACAGACCTTGGGTTACCATGTGGTTAGATACAATAGAGGAGATCTTCCTTCTTGTACCCATGAATGATTATTTCCATGCTGTTTAAAATATTATTTCAGCAAACATACACACATACATAACACGCATATATAACATGACAATCAATAAGAAATGTACAGCCCCTTGCACCTGAAAGAAAAAAAATGTTGCTATGATATATACATATAAATATATATATATATATATATATATCTAAGATTATTTGTAATACAGCAATACTCCATCCTGATATGCCCAGACTCCATAATTATGCGTTTTGGAGAATGAGGGTCATTTCAGAAACATAAAAACAGAACTACTTCCAAAGAAGGATACTCAAGACTTCATACTGTATGGCAACCACACATGTTTGTACTACTTGTACATACTTGCACTTAGAAAGTATTTAAATGGACTGGGATTTGCAGAAAAATAGGAGTCGATATTGTCATAGCATGCATCATTGGCTATGTATTTTTTTTCCCAAGATTGGTCAGTAAGGCAGTAAACAAGAGATGTGACAGAATAATTTGAATTAATGCATTCTAGCGTAATTATTCTATCTTAGATAATACTGTCCACTACAAATAACAAATGAATGTTCGGAACAAATCAGAATCTGTGAAAATCTACTGTATGTGTGTATATCCATTTCAATGATTATCCCAGTGGCCAATCAAAGTAGTTTCCAAGTGTATAAAATATCGTAATTTAATATGTAAATTAAGCTTTTTCATCTTGCCATTATTGATACGTCATCATAAAACTCAGCAGGCATTTCACTTTTAGCAGCACATGCAAATGAAAAGTGAGTGTTTTTGCCAGGTGTAAGGATACTCAGAATGGCTGAGCTGTTTCGCTCCAGGGTGAGAGTCACTCCCCTGAAGTACCTGTTACCTTTTTTTGCATTTGGAGATGCACTACCGAATAGCATTTGTGGCAAAATGAATATGAATGAACAGCAACAGCTATGAAAGAGCTGTCCATAATGCAATGGCATCGCACTGCCACATATCGCGACCGGGCATATACGGGTCCTCCTTTCTAACCACTGCCTGACAAATTCTTGGCATGGAGGCAATGAAGTGCTTGGATGTTCTCCATGACATGATTCTGATCCTATAACCCAAGAAGCTTTTGGGAATAAAATGTTCTGATTATTGAAAACAGCTCAGTCATGTTTGAGTTGCTGGACTGCTACAAACAGGCTGGCTTTGAATGCAATATTCCAGTTATTCTGCCAGACAGCCCTTCTACAAAGTTAAACGTGCTTGTTATCCAGTTCCTGGAGTAATCCATGAAACTGAAGAACACCACCTTTTAGTAGCAAACGCTCCACATTTACACTGTACATTACTGAAGGTTTGAAAGGTGAAGCTTCACTCTGTTGTACATTTTATGACAGGTTTATACCTACAAATATTTTCTATCCACATAACCATAAATTCCATTTTTTTAAACATTTATTTTTACATTTTAAAATATACAGGCTACTGGGGCACCAGAAGTACGCATATATTCTAAAACTGTACAGAAATGTTAGTAAAAGGAGTTCAGACAGACAAGCAATATATTTTGTATGGTCATTATTCTCCTTAAGTTCTCATAAGTATCTAAAAAAAAAGAAAAAAGCACTGGCAATAAAAACAAAATAACATGTCCATATATTGTAACAGGACCTCTTAGAGTCTAATAGGGATTTGCAATTATAATGGTCCAGTACAATTAGGTTTTCATATGGTTATTGGCTGCTTGCAACAATATTTGTGCATAAATGAGTTCAGTTAGTTGTTAGCAAGTTGAAATGCTTCAAATTCAGCATCTATTGTAACGCAAAGTCTATCTTCTAACCATTTCACCTGGTCAGGGTTGCAGGGTGTAACACAAAGTGTAGGATGACATAAACGAATAATAATTGAAATTGTGAGCAGGGCTGTTTCTCCAATAAAAGAGTAGGCATGGTATTTCCACGATATTTGACAGTCTCACCAAAAACACAGTGCTTTGCTACTGTCACACTTTAAATTGCTTAATGAAACATACCATGGAAAGTACATTACGCAATCTGCTATTCAAATTTATTGCAAAATTTTCGATCTCATTGAAAAAGAGTATGTAACAGCTACATTTTGCTTGTGTGCCTTTCGTGTACCACTGTTTCTCTTTTATTTCTAACAATCTCATGACTTTAATGTCTCTCTACTGGGTGTAGTATGATTTATGTTGATACTGAAAACCCATGAAGTAGGTTTTTTTTTTCTGGAGTGGAATTTTGAATCGTAATTATAAGTTGTTACATTACATAGCTAGTAGTCAACAAATGTAAGTAAAATGTATGTATACAAAGATTGCTGATAATTCACTGCTGATACTTTCACCTTCAATTAATGAAGCTATTTCCATTTACTTCAACACCCATATTTTAAAAGGACACATAAAAATGAGCTGTTTTATTCTTTTTTGGTTTAATTCTATTTTGTTGTTTTTTTTTCTCAAAATCAATAATTATTGAAAATGTAAGGGTCACAAATGATTGATTAAGAACAATGTAATTTGTTTTGAAACGCTTTGTGTACATTCCATTTTATCTGCATATTTATGATTTCAAATGGCTATATGAATGTCATTTCTCAAGCTCTTGTGTTTAATTGCTGCCTTTTCGCTCCAAAAGAGTTGTGATTACTAATCTATTTAACATATATAACATATATAATGTTTATCCTTTATTTTTGAGCACTCCTATAACAATATCCCGAAAAAACTATTATTTGTATGATTATGATTCACACAGTTTATCTGAATATAGACACTCGAATGTCATTTTGAATGATTGATAATCACAGGAATGTCTTCATAGAATGCCTTTCTGAATGATTGATATAGTGCTAGCCAATGTTGAGGTTTACGGCGTTTCACTGCGCATCATTCAGTCATTTTCGATTGAGAAGAGTTCTCTCTATAGAATCTGAGGGGGAACAGAATTTTACATGGGCATAGAGAACATCCAAGCCAAAAGATTGCCTCTATGCCCAGCGTCAGGCAGTGTGTTAGGCCAAAGGAGGATTCCCGAGGACCCACTATCGCGAGAGGTGGCAGATGTGCTTTGTGTGATTAAACAAGCAAAGCACATCATGAACATCAGAGACGCGACTGACACAATAAAACAGTAAAATCATCCCAACAAATTCAGAAAATGACAAAGATGCACAGTGGAAGCAGAGAAGGGCATCGCATTTTTAGAAAATTGCCACATCCTTCGTACTGATTGTTAGTCTTTATGCTTAGCTTGATTTTAGGCTTAAAAATACTAAATACATATTTTGTTTTATGTCAATTTTACCAATATCATCTGCAGAAAAGGTCACATATTTCCATCTCTTCTCTTGACTTATTTTAGGTGGATGGATTACACAAACATTGTTCTTAATTTCTGGTCATTTAAATGTAGCAGATGGGGGGGTTAAAGTTTTAAGCATCATGAATATCAATGCAAAACATTATTTGCTACTTAGAAAACCAGATTAGGAGAATTTTACATTAATCATGTCAAGTGTGTACCATTATCTGCCACATGTTAATTGCGGGAAAATAAGCCTCACCTTGCAGTCTAATTTCTTTTATTTTGTTTAAACTAAAGGATTAGTGGAGAAAATGATGGTGCTGAGTTGATCTACCTGACTATGATATCCAGTGATAAACACACCGTCTTGTACAAAAGGTTTGTACATAAATTGTACATGGTTTCATTTTGTATTTTCTCAAATTAAAATTGATGTATTTGTGTTCTAAAAACTTGTCCTTTTTGTTCATTGAAAAAAGAATGACTGAAAAAATGATTGCACACTTGTAGTTAAAACCAGATCACGGGCCTTAGTCAATCTGGAATATTTATTTGATTGCATCTTCTGTTTTAAATTTTGCAGTCTGTGGTATAATATCCGCTACAGTAACAGTAGCTAATTGCCACCTGGGCCAGATATTTTCACCTTCACTGTCTGTCAGTGGCAGTAGGGCTGCCGCTTCTGCTCGTCCAATCAGTGATACCCATCTAGCACTGTGCCTTATGATCTGTGGGAGCAAAGATAGCTGGGAACTTGACAAGAGTGCGGCTCTGGGAGCAAGTTCTGCCAAGAAATCACAACTTTACAGGGGAAAAAAGGTGATAACAATAATAAAAAGTGAATATACACACAGTAAAAAGACGAAATGCAGGACACTTATTTTACGATTCTTCTACTATACCCATTATATAATTGCTATAATTGCTGAAGCATACTATATTTGTAAACTTTTGGAATATTTTTGTTGATATCCATATCTCATGTTCAAATAATGTCAGCAAAACATCTCTATAGAACCAAGAAAAAGAAAAGCAAGAACGACATCGAAAAGAAAGAATTAAGGAAGGTTTTGTTAGTCAATATGAACATGTTTTGATATTTGTATCTATTATGTAGATTATACTTAATTTTGGCACAAGCCACAAAAGAAACAGCTCTAGTTCTGTTGTTCTGTTGAACTCCATGTATCTAGTGTTTTATATAATTACATACAAATAACTTGATAAATTAGGCACTACTAATATGAAATATATATGAAAATGAAAATTATTTGCATGATCTAGACATTACTAACTTGTTAAATTATAATTCTTGTACACTTTTTTTTAGCTCAAGTTAGGTCCAACATTTGAGCATATGCCATTAAAGAAATTGCATATAATTTTAAGAAAATTCAACTGTGTCTGATGGATCAGTTAATTTTCACATCGGTAAGGATGTAACAAAGACATCTCAAATTGATAGCTTGTTGGTGAAGAGTGGCCTCTTTGTTATGTTTTCAGAATGATTGATTTACAATAGAGTAGCTGGTGGTGTGTGCATTCAAGCCGAACTGATTCAGATCGATTCTGGTGGAACTGATTGATCTGCCATTTATCTTGTTGCCACATTTACCAAACGAACCTATGCAAATACTCACTCGGCTCTATTCCATTCTGAACAGATCGCTGCTGATACTTTTATAACATTCCCTTATAGCTTCATTCAAAAACAATCTATCCAGTCAAAAGTGGGCAATGTTACAGAAATTATTTTTATATCGACCTTGGAGCGCTTTAAGTAAATATGTAAACAAAATGCATTTGCACTTATGATTATCGGCACACTGCTTGGGTAAGATGCAGGAAAAATTGTCACTTCTCCATTGTACCTTGCGGACTATTTACCACCATAATGTCTGCCTGACCTTGCACTCCTTCTAGGGCTGGTCAGTCCTATAAGCAACATGGTCAGCTACCTATGGTGCACGACTTCTGAGGGAGCATCGACTCGCCGGCCATTTTCACTTCGCTTCGTATTGAAGGCCCTGGCATTGCTGCTTGTTGCATGGTTGCCACACTGGCCATGACTGGTGTTGACTATTTATCTGCGTAGTATAGTATCTGTGTTCCAAGTAAAATACCACAGTCATACACCTTGAATCAAAGTTAAATCAATCTGGACTGAAGAAAAACAGCTACTATGTACTATGGTCAACTGGACACCTGTCTGATTTTCCTGATTCATATTACTATATTTGAATTAATTGCAGGCGGCTCGCATGCCCTGTATAGGGAAATTTTCAAACAGCGCATTACAAACCTATGTGCTGTCAAGAAGTCAATTAGGCATAAGTGCAGCTAGCTTGAGTTTCCAACACCCATGTAGAGATGCAAACAGTATTGGGGCACAAGCCACACGACACATTCCCAAACAAGAATATAACAATCATCCAAAGGGCAGAAACATCACAAACATTCAGGTAACATCAAGTAGTTCATAGAGATATTCTTGGAAGCGATGGGTGTTTTATCCTCCAGAAAGGTCCCATTAACCAGAACTATTAATTGTTGGCCATGAAATCTTCATGACGATAAACACGGAAAGAGAAATTAAAACAATAACAAGTTAGCATGTGAATAAATAGTAAAGCAGAGATTATACCATATTAATGCAAAGAGAGAAATTAATGAACACCATCACTTTTCTTATTACCATATCAGAGAATGAAAAGAAAAAAAAGGCTTTTGTCTTTTCAGTGCATAACATCTGGTCACTCAGTTCCACTGCATGGCATTTTCATGCGCTGTTGAAAGAAAGCACTTTACTATTGCTCCACAAATCTTCTGACAAGGGACACTTCATTTCACCCTTTGGATAGTTGTTGATGAAAACAGTTACCACATTCTCACCTTGGGATGCAGCAGCCCATCATGTAGCTTATGAACAATTTTACACGCCGTGTCATGGCTGGGGACTGTCAGGATGCCAATAATATTTACTGTCTAACGCCTTGGAAGCGCCGAGGCTATCGCGGGATGCGCTGATTATGCGGATCTGTGTGTGACAGCCTCTTCAGTGTCCGCTACTGCCAATGAGCATGTTTACATCTCGTACGTTAATAAGCACCTGAAGCTGGGAAGCATCTGTACAGCTACGCTCTCTGTAGCTAGAACAGAGATGTCAATACAAACAAATTAGCATCTTATTTCAATGCCATGCATGGGCTGGTAAATGTGTCTGCAGTGTGCAAATCAATTTATTTTTCACCTGAAACTAGTTCCAAACACCGAAGTGGCCAAAAAAGGTCAAATTTGGTTTGGAAAATGCCATACAGAGATATTTATAATGTTTTATCCTGAAAATTTAAGATGTGTTTTATATTTATTTAACTAGATGTTTTTTTTCTTCATATACACTAATGGGACTATGTTAAAATAGAATATTGTATATAGAATACAGAGTTAATTTATAAAAAGATCAATTTGTTCAGTGACCATTTATTCATCCCCGTGTAGTTTACTCAGGGAGCACAATAGAAATGTTTCAGAGTAATGCCATTTAGTGAGTAGAACGCCTTCAGTCGAACAGATTAAAGAAAGGCAGCCCACTTGTCATTGTTTTAGTCAGGTCTCTATACCATCTCAGTCGTCCCCCATGTCACGTAAACACCATCCTCAAGAGCATACAAGATTCGCAGCACCGTGGTGATAATAGTTTCCATGACAATGCAGTGCACTTAGTGCATCAGTGCCATTGCAGATAAACAGTGATCCTTTACAAAAACAAGAGGGTCATTACACCAGCTTGTCAAATCAATGTTGAGAGTGTCCCGGCTGATTAAGCCATCTCCTCTCAGCTCTGACACGGTGTCAATAGTACTGGGCCGTGGGTGCATGGTCAGATGATTGGACTGAAATGCCCATCAGTCAGGGAGTCGAGGTAGACTAATGATTCCCTGTGCTGCCTATTAGAGGTACATGACAATTCAATCCTGTTCACTGGGGGAAAAAAGTGACCTTGTTGCTTCATTTGAAGCTGAATTAAATTGACAAGAGCAGATAATCTTTACCTTGGGCAATTAACAGAACAAAACAAAAAAGACAGCCTGGCTTTGTTTGTCTCTACTCTTCTTTGCTAAAAATATAATGCTTCGTAACAATACCGCCATCACATTTTACCAGACTCGAAGATTGTGCACAGAAACTGCCACCATTTCAAGGCCTAAAGGAGCGTTACATTTTTCTTGGGAGATTTTTTTTTTTGGCCTTTCTTTAAAAAATACGTATCAGCACTATAATGGAAAACATTATTAAGTTCATATACAATAAATGCAACTTGTGCAACATGCCCCTGACACAAGTGCTAATAGCTGCATCGTATGCTATAATCTTTAGACTGGGATGGATCTGGAGTACTGCATAACCTTGACAAGGGCATTGGGTTGTACCACCATTCAAATACTTACGTTATTGTACACAAAGGGAATAATGGAATATTTGTAAGGAAGTGTAAAAAAGGAAAGAAAGAGCCAGAAACCAAAGGCCAAATAACAAAATAACCAATAAACAAACAAACAAATAAAACAAACAAATAAATTCAAGATAGTCATCATGTCAACATATAAAAGCCTTTAGGGTGAGGTGATATTGCTGGGCTCCAGCTTTTATGGACTGCAGATAACATGGTATCTGCATACCATTACGGATTTACATTGGCAATGAAAAAGACAAAATGCAACATGCATATGAATTCCATTATACACAGTGGCAGGTAATCCGTTGGTGCTCAGTTGGTGGCTGACAATGTTGAACTGGTATTAAGCCCACTGACGCTTGGTGGGGGGGCCGGGGGTGGTTATGCAATAAGGCAAAAACTGTACTGTCCAGTAGGTAGAATTAAAGGTCATTAAGCAGTTGCCACTGGAGAGCTAGTTAATTGGTGGCTGTTAATAAAATGGTAGCGCTTTCACTAATCTTGATTTACATTTAATCTGTCAGGGCGACAAAGATGGACGACGGAAATGGGAAAAGTCAATGGTTTCTTGGAAAACCTCCTGGAGTTGTACTAAACAAACGATCTGAGGTTTGCTTTCGTTCTTCAGCATTGCCTTTAAAGACCACACATCATCAATACTCAGAGCCCCAGAGGTTGTGTCACTCAAATCCATAGTTGATTAATTCTTGGATGTAAAGTGAGCGGCATTGCTGCAAAATGTAGTTACTGCTCCAGATCCAGTTTGCCATTAGTTATGAAGAAATTTTATTTTTACACATTAAATACAGTACAGGTTTAATAAAACCTATTGCGGGGCATCATCATTGACAAAAGGCTGGTTATCGATTTTGACTGTGCAACTGGTAGACCACTTCCCTGAGCCATATCAGATACTCGCAGGTCTGGATTTCTGTAATACTGTGTAATAGGCCT